ACACACACACACACACACACACACACACACACACACACACACACACACTCACACTCTTATTTCCCTTCCACCTAACTCCCTCTTGCTCCACATAGTTATTTCCTGATTTTTGGTTAAGTTAATATTCAATATTTACTTTATTATGACAACTTTTTCTTGATTGCTGACATATACTATGATGAAATTTATTTTCCTGTACAATTTTGGTCTTCTTGGAGTTAATAATTGTCTCATATTTTTCACTTGCTGGGTTTTCTTCATACCTGTGTCACTAGTTCATCCTCATATTCTCTAACAATTCTGTGAAACTTTTCCCATTATAGACGAACACATCAGGTATTTTCTCTGTTTCTTGTTTTCCTTGAAGACATTCTTCGTGGAGCACTGTGCCCCCGTTCCTTTCTGGACTGGTTGTTTATAGTCTTGCTGCACAACTGTTCTCCTGGAACGTCTTTTCATTATCACCCTGAAAATTTTTTTGCCTCTCTCCTTTACTAGTTTTTATTTTCTGGATCTTTACCTTCTTCTTTCATGGTTATACTTCAATTTCAATGAAGTATACCTTCCTAACATAGGTTGTGAGGGAGGTAAATACTTTAAAACCATGTACACCTGAAAATTCTACCCTTGCACTAATTGATAGTTTGGGCTAGATATCAAGTTCTAGGCTGGAAATAATTTTCTCTTAAATTTTTAAGTCATAGCTTCATTTCTTCTAGTTTCTAGTGTTGCTTAAAATGTCCAATGACATTCAGGTTCTTATCCTTTGGATGTGACCTTTTTATCTCTCTGACAGAGTTTAAGATCTTTTCCTTTTCCTAGAATCCTTACATGATGATTTGCCTCTGTCTTTGTATATATCTATTTTTCATTTATTATTCTGGCACTTCATGAGCCTTCTCAGTCTGGAAATGAATGACCTTCAATTCTAGGAAATTTTCTTTTATTATTTCCATAATAATTTCTTCATATCTACGTTCTTATAGTTTGTTCTTTCTGAAATCCCTATTAGTTGGTTGTTGAACTCCTGGTTTGATTTTTTTCTTGTTTCTTTGGTTTTATTTTTTTTTCTGCTTTCCAAAATAACTTTTCAAATTGATCTTCTGACACTTCTATTAATTATTTTTTCCCCACACATAGTATAGTTTATTTATTTCCCTTCTAGCCCTGGGCTCAGTATGTAAATGGCTTCTCTTCACCCTTTGGGTTGACAGTTTTCTCCAGGTTGCTGCTGATGATAGGATAAAGCTCAGCACAGAAGGACCTCAGGTCCAGCACCATGGTCCTGAGCTCCCCATGGGCCGCCTCATCTCGCTCATGCACTCGGTAATCCATTACATGGGCCTCCTTAGAGGCCTTGGCCACAGCATCCCCGCATTCTGAGAAGCACTTGGAAATGGTTGTCTGGAAGGCTTCTACTTTGGTCTTGACTGCATTCACTCTCTTCCAGCACCTTCTCCTGGATTGCCACCCCAAAGTCATTTCCATCCTCAACCTTGGGGATCAGGTGCTGGATCCAAGTGATCACCAGAATGCATTTTTCTTTGAGTTCAGACTTCGGCTTAACCAGGGCAAGCAGGGCCAGGACCTTCTCATTCCCAGGAAGAAA